CCAGTATCACGTAGAATACATATGGGTATGGGATTGCCAATACCATTTGTCAAAAACACAGAACCAACAGACACAAAAGGTCTAAATTCCTCCATGATTATATCAGCCTTTATATCAGTGGCCATATCAACAACATCGGGTGATCTGGTGAAACTACGTTAATATGTGGACACAAACGCATAGGGTGTTGCCTTCTTTTCTTTTTCAACCACTTAAAATGGGACATGACATGACCAGGTTTTTTACAAAAATGGCAGATAGGCTTTGGTTGTTTTAAAGAAGTTTTGTCCTGACTGTCAGAAGATTTCGAACTAGAGGAGCTGGATTTTTTAGAAGCATCCTCAAATTTAGTGGATTGAACAGATACAGGTTTTTGTTGAGATGGTAGGAATTTCTTTCAATGAAAACTGGTTTTATGTATTAATGTATAGTCATGGAAAAGAGTGGCTGCTTCCTGTAGTGTTTCAACTTTCTTTTCATCTAAGAAAGTTTTGAGGTCGTCACGTGCACAATGTTTAAATTCCTGAATTTGACATAATTATCTTAGTTTGTTGAAACTGTTGTCAATATGCATATAATTGCACCATCGATCAAAATAAACCTCTTTTTTACGAGAAAATTCCATGTAAGTTTGATTATCTTGTTTGCGATAACCTCGATACTTTTGGCGATAAGCCTCTGGTACTAACTCGTATGCTTTGACAATAGTTGCTTTAACCTTATCATAATTCGCAAAATCTTCCAGAGAGAGAGAGTGGCATAAGCTTCTTGTGCTTTACCAGTTAAAACACTTTGTAACAATAATGACCATTTTTCGGGGGACCATTCCATTGTTTAGGTAACCTTCTCAAAATGTTGGAAATATTTATCAACTTCATTTTCATTTAACGGTGGTACTTTAACATATCGATTAAGTTGAAAGTTATCATCTTGCCTTGGTCGATCAGAGTTGAGTCTAATTTCCATTTCTTACAGTCTAATTTCTTTTTCGGCATCAATGCGAGCATTTTCGGCCTCGAGACGTTTATTTTCTTTTTCAGCTTCAATACGAGCGTGTTCTTTCTCTTTCTCGACTTCGGTATGAGCTTGTTCTTTTTTCAGCTTCGATACAAGCTCGTTCGACCTCGAGGCGTTTATTTTCTCTTTCAGCTTCGATATGAGCTTCTTCAAGCTCGATTTGTTTGAGTTTTAGCTGGATCTCTAGTTTATCTTTATCACTCAACCCCGATTGGCTAGTAGGGACACTAAAGTATTCCTCTAATGTTTCCTCAAGCAACAAATCATCATCGACTAGTATTTCGATAATACGCTTTTAAGTTCTTTTTTTTTTCATTGATCTTTTAACTTCTAGTTTTAAAACTTTGGCAATTTCGAGCAATTCATTTTTCTTATATTTTTCTAGTTGTTTGAGGGAGGGTGATTCAAGAAAATCTTGATAATCAGACATGATTAAATCTTGTTGGCACTGATAAATAGAAATTCAATTATGATTTAGATTTTAATTTAGATCGAATTTTGTCTCTGATTCAGATCTCGGACACGAGCCCCCAATTTATTATGTTACATATTATAATTTCGAATGGTATAAAATTCAGTTAAATTGTGCTTTGGATTTAGCAGTTAAGTAAAAGCCGATATATAGTCAGTTTATGATATTTGCCAACAAGTTTGATAGACACAGTTTTCTTTTTTAACACAAATATGTTTTAATATACAAACAACAATATAATTTATAATAACAGTTATTACAAATGGTTACTACACACAATGATACACATGTAACTCACAATAATATCGAAAGATTCACCAAACTCCTACTGAAAAGTGCTGAGAAATACATCCCAAGAGGACATAGAGCAGGATACATATCATGCTGGACCGCAAAGAGTGAAGAACTGCTGCAGGAATACGAAAACACACAGGACCCAGCCATAGCAAATGAGCTACTAAACTCCCTCCAAGAAGGCAGGAGCATAAAATAGATTGAAACGACAGAAAGCTTAGACTTCAGCCGATCCAGCAAACACACTTGGCAACTGTTCAAAAAACTCGACCCAGATAAGCCACAATCCATTGAATCAGCTGCACCTACCAACACAGACAATGTTGCCAAACAGATCAAGCAGCAAAGTATCCACATACCAAACCACGACTAATAACAAAACAAGAGCTAGAGACCGCAATAAAAACCCTGAAAACAGGTAAAGCTGCAGGAGTTGACGGAGTATACCCGGAATGATTACACACCTTGGCCACAGAGGAGTAACCTGGCTCGCCAGCGCCCTATCAGACAATATACATTAATGCAACTACCCCAGAATCTGGAAACAAGCCAGAGTCATTACGATATTAAAACCAGGAAAGCCAGCAGACGACCCAGCTAGCTATCGACCTATTTCACTGCAATGCTGCATTTTCAAACTGCTGGAGCGAATCATGCTCACACGAGTGTCACCAAAACTCGAACCTCATGTACCCCTTGAACAAGCCGGTTTTAGATCAGAAAGAGACACATCAGAGCAGGTACTGGCGCTCACATCTTATATTGAGTCAGGCTATGAACAAAAAATGGAAACAGGTACCGTCTTCATAGACCTCTCAGCAGCCTATGACACCGTTTGGCCCAATGGGCTAATGCTGAAACTTGCCAAAGTCATCAATTGCAAGAAAACCCACAAACATTTAAACAAAATTACAGGAATAAGAACTTTCACGTACGTCTGGGGAAAGACATCAGTAAGAGCAGGAAAATAAAAAACGGAGTCCCTCAAGGATTGGTCCTGGCGCCAACAGTCCTTGTTCAATGTTTATATTAGCGACATGCCCACAACAAGATCCCTTAAGTTTGAATATGCAAACGACTTAGCCATTGCTTACCAATCCAACAACGTGAATGAATTGGAGGCCATACTTAGCAGAGACACTCAAGCTATTCAGACCTTCTTCGATAATTGGTACGTGAAACTGAACACCACAAAAACAGTGACGACAATATTTCACCTCAATAACCATCAAGCAAATCAAACCCTGCAAATACAACTTAACAATAAACTGCTCCCACCAAAGAAACATCCTAAATATCTCGGAATAGAACTCGACAGAACCTTTACAGACAGATAACACCTAGAAAATACTGCACAAAAATTAAAGAGTAGGAACTCACTGATCAGGAAGCTAGCCGGATCGTCATGGGGAGCATCTCAAACTGTGTTAAGAACTTCCACACTGGCCCTATACTACAGCATAGCTGAGTATTGTGCCCACACAAGAAAAATCGATGCCTAGCTGAATGAAACGATGCAAATTATATCCGATGCCATCAAATCTACTCCATCGACTTGGCTGCCAACAATGAGTGCAATTGCTCCACCATACCTCCACAGAGAGGAGGCCACTCAAAAACAGCACCAACGCATTAGAAACACAAATATTGACACACCATTGAAGCAAATAATTGACAGAACACCCACCACTTCAAGACTAAAACCTTTCTATAAATCAACGAAAGAGAACTTCAACATTAAGGAAGTTTGGAGAGAGGAATGGAGGGAGTGCCCTCCTAGGGGTGGAGACCTGGTGGGGGACCCCACTGAGCCACTGCCCGGTTTCTATCACCTAACCAGAAAGCAATGGACACAGGCAAACAGGCTGAGGTCAGGCCATGGCAGAACAGCAGCCAACCTGCATCGATGGAGTTATAGTGAATCCCCTATATGCCCAGCATGTCAGGAAACCCCACAAGACACACACCATCTCATGTTGCACTGTCCAGTCACTGAGGTACCAGAGGGATATGGTACAATCCATGAAGCAGAGCGAGGCATTCATTGACTGGATCGTGACTATGAAAAACACCATATGCAACTACTACACACAATGATTTATATACAAACACTTTACAAACTTACAAGCAATATAAAGTCTTCTTTCTAGTCTGGAATTTCCTTTATATCATAACAAGGGTACACGATGAGTGAGTTAATTACGAGTTGATGTAGGTACGATTTGCTTAACGGGGAGCTAGCTTGCATTGACCTTTGTTATTCACCAGCCATACACGCAGAGTTTTCCACGATGAAGTTATATAATGTTTTCATAAAAACACTAATGTCCAATGACAATCCACTGAAATTAAATGATTTTTACTTTTTGAACTTTGTTAACGTTCCTGGTCAAATATCTGTAGTTTTCCTTTAAGTGTTATAACAATCAGAGTTATAGCTTCCAAAGTTTATAGAACACTGACTATAGCAAACTAATAATAGATGCTATTTTTGGTGTGTCGCGTTAGTTGTATTTATAGGTGTGTGGAGAGTTTTTAGAAAATTCAGATTACTTAACAATACAAAGCTACATTAAGCATTAATGTACATACATATATTGTTGATTCTTACACTCGAGAATCTTCTACATCTTTAGAGAATAGGCGGGAGTTTCGCATTACATATTTAACACTATAAGTTGTGCATATTTCTAAACATAAATTTAATCTAAACAAATGTTGATATTAAAATAAATATATAATAATAAATCCGTCACAACTCCCTCCTTACAGAATTAAACATTGGCCTTAGACACTTTTTAACTAAGATATTATATATATACATATACATTGGCAACAATACATTATATATAATACATCATTCAAAGGATTACAATACTTCAATAACAATTACAGTGTAAAACCCAATCAATACAAATAATCTTATGATCATAAAATTACATATTACATGAAAATACATCAGCACATATGTTATCAACCCTTTTGACATGGATTATCTTCAAACCATATTCTCGTAGTGATTAACTGCAATTTAACAGTCTTATGTTTTGTTTTTCTTTTCTTTCTTTCTTTTTTCTGTATTTCTTTCTTTCTCTCTTTCTTTTTGTCTTTTTCTTTCTCTCTTTCTTTCTTTATGTCTATCTTTTTCTTTCTCTCTTTCTTTCTTTTTGTCTATCTTTTTCTTTCTCTCTTTTTTTTCTTTCTGTTTTTTTATTAGATATTCCATAGAGGGTAACAATACTAAGACCATGTCCTCAGGACGGAACTTACGTTCTTCAAAAGCTGGGGCCTCCCAGTGGCACAGCTGTATGTCTGCGGACTTACAATGTGAGAATCCGGGTTTCGATACCCGTGGTGGGCAGAGCACAGATAGCCCATTATGTAGCTATGTGCGTAATTGATAAGTATTATAACAATCACAGTTATAGCTTCCAAAGTTTATAGCACACTGACTATAGCAAACTAATAATAGATACTATTTTTTTGGCGCGTCGCGTTGGTTATAGTTATATGCGTGTGGAGAGTTTCTAGAAAATTCAGATTACGTAACAATACAAAGCTACATTAAGCATTTACGTACATACATATATATTGTTGGTTCTTACATTCGAAAATCTTCTACAACTTTAGAGAATAGGCGGAAATTTCGCGATACATATTTAACAGTATAAGCTATGCATATTTCTAAATATAAACTTAATCCAGACAAACGTTGATATCAAAATAAATATATAATAATAAATCTGTCACAAATACTAATTGTCCTCCTAGTACCTTCTGTATTTTGACGATGAGAAAAAAATATAAAAAACACTTATATGAAATATATTTACTATCTTAAACAATTTTTTTTTCTTGCTTCTGTTCAGACTAAGCCTCACGAAGTTTTGTCGTATTTTAGAAGCTAATCAAGTACACAGGGCCATAAAAATAAAAGACAGATCAAGCCATCAACAATGTCTGTTTCAACAGAAATTACTGAAGCAAAATTTAATGATTAAAACTATATATAAGATATTCCAAGATAGAATCGCTATAATATTTCACGTTAAATTTATTAATTCATTACTGAAAATGTTACAAAACTTTCACTATGACGCAGTTCTTCCTAAGAAGTATTACCATTTTATGTTCTCAATCATATGTTCACAATTATTCCAATTCGTTTTGCATTATAACGATTAAATTCTTATGTCTTGTAATATGTTAACAATTGAATATCTACTGTATATAACATCAAACACAGAATCTCTCAGACCTATAAAATTACTTTTTGTGTTTGTTCCAAAAAACAGAAAACGGTGTTGGGTTACTCCTTACCAATGTGGTCTAGAAGTAAGAATGGATCACAACTATCAATGACGCCTCCAATGACCTTTCGGACCAAAAATCCTCCTCCTTCCTTTTGAACACGTAAGGAAGCAGTCCTGGACACTGTACGGTGCACGATGTGTGGCATTTTGTTGTAGTTTCCTAGAACTCAGAAAAAGTCAGGTTTGATCTGGAAAATACATGATACAATTGAAATGTTGGCTCAGATCTTTACTAGAAGACACTAAAAATACTTCATGCCAATAGAAAAAAGTGTTGAATAAGAATTAAGTGACAAGGTAGCAATACTTTATACTATTCAGCATCAGTAAAACATATTTTAAAATTGAAAAATGTTTAATGTTAAAAACTCGCAAGTTTTTAAAAAAGAGCGATTATTTGATACACAATTCTATAAAAATGTTTGTTTTTTGTTTTTTGAATTTCGCGCAAAGCTACTCGAGGGCTATCTGCGCTAGCCGTCCCTAATTTAGCAGTGTAAGACTAGAGGGAAGGCAGCTAGTTATCACCACCCACCACCAACTCTTGGGCTACTCTTTTACCAACGAATAGTGGGATTGACCGTCACATTATAACGCCCTCACGGCTGAAAGGGCGAGCATGTTTGGGGGGACGGGGATTCGAACTCGCGACCCTCAGATTGCGAGTCGAGTGCCCTAACCACCTGGCCATGCCGGGCCTTTATATAAAAATGAGATTGTTTCTAGTCTCCAAATTACTAAAATACAATAACTTACTGTGCAGGATAAAAAGTGGTAAAAAATCCGATGAAACTATGATAGAAAACATTCTCACACACTCTACATGTTTCGACGTATACTACTGTGTCATCCTCAGGACATTACACACGTGCCAAAAAACGTTTTTAAACAAATTTTGAAAAATGTTTCTTTGACAAACGGGCTCTCCAATAACAACAAAACCTAAAACCAAAGAGATGATTTCTTCTGATGCATCTTATACTTAAGGCTAGAATTACAACGCTAGAAACCGATAGTCCATTGTGTAGCTTTGTGCTTAAAGTACAAACAAACAAATACTTAAGGCGGATTTACAACGCTAGAAACCGATAGTCCATTGTGTAGCTTTGTGCTTGAACTACAAACAAACAAACAAACTTATAATTAAAGCGGATTTACCACGCTAGAAACCGATAGTTCATTGTTTAGCTTTGTGCTTAAACTACAAACAAACTTATACTTAAGGCGGATTTACAACGCTAGAAACCGATAGTCCATTGTGTAGCTTTGTGCTTGAACTACAAACAAACTTATACTTAAGGCGGATTTACAACGCTAGAAACCGATAGCTCATTGTGTAGCTTTGTGCTTAAACTACAATAAAAACTTATACTTAAGCTGCAATCCCATCTATTCAAACTTGATATGAAGAACTGAATAGGATCTATGGAAAATACGATATCCAAAGATCTTTAAATTAAAACTGCTACAAAATTTAACAAAAATAATTTCAGCTACATCCATGCATACCGTTGTATAATGTGCTGAAGGGTCTGTGCGAAGAAGTTGGATCCAGTTACTTAATAACCTTGAAAATATCTCAAAATTGTGAAGAAGTCGATGAAAATTATCAGAGAAAATCAACTATAGTAAGATATCAAAATACAATGCTAAAAGATGCATCATATCAAGTTTCTTAGTAGAATTGTTTACAAATTGTTGCTTTATAATGGAGTATTTTCTAGAGAGAGTGGCAAAAATGCAACTAATAAATCTTTCTGGTCCAATTCGCCAATAAAATAAACACCAGATGCACATTCTTTGTATCTGAAATACTAACGTTCGAACCAAAAAAAAAAAGTCTACTACATGGACCAACGATGCATATATTACTAGCAAAGAAGGTTAAGAGCATATAAGAATTTACTGAATCATAAACCATGGACAGTTAGAGAGTCGATATTCCCATTATAATTACAACAAAAGCCATATTACAATTTTGAGAAGCTAAAACTGCATAGATTTAGAGTAAAGGTAAGCAGTACTCTCAGTTTGTGTGATGCCCAAAAGAGACGAAAAACGATCTCCATCAGATTATAGTTGAAGAAGGTGATACCCAAAACAGACACCTAGGACAAAAAAATGATCTCCATTAGATTATAGTTGAAGAAGGTAATACCCAAAACAGACACCTAGGACAAAAAAAACGATCTCCATTAGATTATAGTTGAAGAAGGTAATACCCAAAACAGACACCTAGGACAAAAAAATGATCACCATCAGATTATAGTAGAAGAAGGTGATAGCCAAAATAGACACCTATAACAAAAAAGGATCACATTTAGATTATAGTAGAAGAAGGTGATAGCCAAAATAGACACCTAGGACAAAAAAATGATCTCCATTAGATTATAGTTGAAGAAGGTAATACCCAAAACAGACACCTAGGACAAAAAAAGGATCACCATTAGATTATAGTAGAAGAAGGTGATAGCCAAAATAGACACCTATAACAAAAAAAGATCACATTTAGATTATAGTAGAAGAAGGTGATAGCCAAAATAGACACCTAGGACAAAAAAATGATCACCATCAGATTATAGTAGAAGAAGGTGATAGCCAAAGTAGATGCCTAAGACAAAAAAATGATCACCATCAGATTATAGTAGAAGAAGGTGATAGCCAAAGTAGACGCCTAAGACAAATATGGATCACATTTAGATTATAGTAGAAGGTGATGTCCTCATTTTGCAGAACAACCAAAATAAGCGACTAGGACACACAATTGTAAGTATCTAGAAAGCAGAAACTTTTAGATTATCATTAGCGGTGGGGTAAAGAGCACGAGCCTACCAAGATGAAGTAGCAGCACCATAACCAACTCAAGAAATTAGCAGAGATGCTGAATAGTTAGGAACCACAACAAACCGACATAGCAGTTGTAGAGAATAAATCTCAACATATAGCTGATCCCGTGCTCGTGAGTACCTTTAGTCGATGTTCCTTGAACATGAGATCGTAGATCAAGTTACAGTAACTTCAGTAGACGTTTCTGAACAAAGGAAACAAGGGATTGGAGATCAAGTTACAGTATGTTCAGTAGACGTTTCTGAACAAAGGAAACAAGGGATTGGAGATCAAGTTACAGTATGTTCAGTAGACGTTTCTGAATAAAGGAAACAAGAGATTGGAGATCAAGTTACAGTAGGTTCTCAAACTAGGGAACAACCCAAGATAATTAAACAACTCAAATATTCGAGATTGCTTACATTGATAATTTATTTATTAAATATACTCTAATACAGGGGAAATATAAATTAAAATACTTTATAAAATCATTACCTAATGTGTAATACGTTCAAACAACGTTAATTATAGTTGCATTTCTGACTAAGGAAAGCATAAAGTGCGTACAAACATATACATATGTTTTGCTGTAATGGCCTCTTCGTGTCATGATCAGGATTATGACAGTTGACACGGCTGATCGCTTTTTATGCTAAAAGTTTGTTTTACATTTAGTCATAAACAGGTATGTATGGAAAAGTTGCACTTATGGCACCAAGATAGCAGAGTGTAAACATCAAACTCTACTTTTTAGTGGTTCTATCAGAATGAATACAGATTCTAATGGGCAGAATATTTATGCATGTGTATCCAAGTAAGTTACATAGTATGACGTGATAGATATCTATGCACGATATTAGAGAACGCTTGCTAAAACACCATAATCATTATAGTTATAAAGCAGCAGTATCCGTGTGTCACGCTCTCTACAGCAGCAACGGTGGAATGTAAAGAAAAAACAATTATTAATGACCATTGCTTTACCTGGTCTTAGGCATGCGCTAAGTTATGAGGAATTGAATGTAAAATCTCCCAGTTGTAAGAAACAGACCTGTGATTGGGCTAAGTTCGTGCTCCACGTTGCATTAATTATTTTACGCGCCAGAAGGTAATTGCAGTGGAATGTTTTTCTGCACGTTAGTAGATTTGCCATAAATACAAATACAAGTTTGTTTGTTTTTAACCAAAAAATATTTACGAAGTTACTGAGCTTATTTCCTAAATGAAGTAGCTTTAGGATCCTGAGATAAAATTGAAGTAGCTTTAGGAGACTGAGATAAAATTGAAGTAGCTTTAGGAGCCTGAGATAAAATTAAAGTAGCTTTAGGAGCCTGAGATAAAACTGAAGTAGCTTTAGGAGCCTGAGATAAAATTGAAGTAGCTTTAGGAGCCTGAGATAAAATTGAAGTAGCTTTAGGAGCCTGAGATAAAATTGAAGTAGCTTTAGGAGCCTGAGATAAAATTGAAGTAGCTTTAGGAGCCTGAGATAAAATTCAGAGAGGAAAGAATTTATCAAACAACAATAGAAAGAAGAAACTTAAACGCAGAAAACGCACTTAGTGCTTTAAAATAACTATAATTTCGTCCACTACGTTTTCTTGATCGCCTAACTACTAGTGTGATCACAGTGATCTGAAATGTTCACATTAGATTTTCCATTCCTTAGAAATAAAAGATAACAAAACGAATCTTACAATAGGAACAGTAATATAGGCAGTGAAAGCCTGTTGGTTAATGCAGCGTAAAGTTGATTACTAAGTTATATATATATTCTGAAATTTTATATATAGCAAACTCCCATTAAATTAAAACGAAACTACACGTAACACAACAAACCTTTCTTCGTGATTAAGTTCTATTTGCATGACCACTTAGCCAGTGTTCAAAGTGACCAAACTCTTTCACGTAAATATTACCACGTGAAAAAGTTGCATGAAATACAGTACAGATTAAAATCTGTAGTATCTTTACTGGGATTCGTTTTGATCCATTCTGAATAACAATATATTTCGTAGAATTAAAATCATAGAAGAGGTTTTGCTGTTGAATTTCTCATTCTACATTATGGTCAGTTTTATACCGTGTGACGATAATAACAAACTGAAGAGTATGACTTACTAACTTTTTTTCCATCTTTAAGCCTCTACCTTCACTAAACCATATATAAGTTGTACTTTTGAGGACGTCACAGTTCACTTAAGTAATGTTTTTGACATAAAATAGTTGCATACTTATATATATATATATATACAACTGTGTAGTGATTTTTGCTTCACCCTGTATGATAGCTTTTAGGAGAGGAGAGGCTGAATGGTGTGCTTATTAAAAGTACCCTCTCTCAACTGGCAACACAAATAATAATAACAAGAGTCATGCTCTCTAGACTGGAACTTGGTGTGGTAACAAAAGCAATAATGGCAGCTTTTTGGTATTGTCTCCTTTACTCACAAGATAAGTTTTTATTCATGACATGTGCTAGTTTCTTTACAGCCAGATACACAAGTGAAAAAACTTATTTTGTTTGCTGCTAAGCACAAAGTTACACAATGAGCTATTTATCGAAACCCGATTTTTAAGGTTATAAGTCCAATATCTTACCGCTGAGCCACTGGGGTACACCGTGAAAAATAAAAAAGTTTAAGCATTTATATTTACACAGAAACATTTTTACTTTATTAATCAATATTTGTCTTTGATTTGAGATTTTTATCCAACGAAACGTCTAAATTCAAACTACAACACGTTCCTATCCGCTTCCAAATCCAACATGATTAACTCTGCAGAAATGGTTTGTTTGGTTTGTTATGGATTTCGCGCAAAGCTACACGAGGGCTATCTGCGCTAGCCGTCCCTAATTTAGCAGTGTAAGACTAGAGGGAAGGCAGCTAGTCATCACCACCAACTCTTGGGCTACTCTTTTACCAACGAATAGTGGGATTGACCGTTACATTATAACGCCCCCACGGCTGAAAGGGCGAGCATGTTTGGTGGGACGGGGATTCGAACCTGCGACCCTCAGATTTCGAGTCGAGCGCCCTAACCACCTGGCCATGCCGGGCCTAACTCTGTAGAAGTCAGGAATTTAATATTTTTTTCTATATTTTGAAGTTGCTGCTAGCATAAGAAACTAGATATTTTGAATATTTTTTTTAAATTTTAAAGAGTTAAAATTTGTATAGGAATCTTATTTTCTCTTCTTATATCACCATTTAAGAAGAGTCAAAATATCTATTAATTTTTTCTCTTCTTTAGTTATATAACAATAAATTAAGATCCTCACTGATTTTTTCTTATTTGGGAATAAGCTTAGCTATGGATCAGAGTTGCAAATTCTTTTCCTTGAAAATATTCCTAATTCACAATGTTTCACTCCTCAGAGAAAAAAAAAAAAGTTATACTTTGAGTCACACTTCAACTGTGTCCCTCTCGCCCCCCAGTGGATCAGTGGTATGTTTGCGGATTTGCAACGCTAGAAACCGGGTTTCGATACCCGTGGTGGGCAGAGCACAGATAGCCCATCGTGTAGCTTTGTGCTTAATTACAAACAAACAAACTGTCCCTCTCTCTCAAAATCTTTGTATTTTTCTTTCCATCTTTTATTCATCTCTAATCGATTTTTCTTTTTGTATGAGGTATGCACATTTGGTCCCCCCGATTGGTCAGTGGTAAATTTACGGACTTACAACGCTAAAATCTGGGGTTCGATCCCCTTGGTATACAGAGGGCATATAGCCTGTTTTGTAGCTTTCGGTAAACAATGTATAGGTGTCCTGGAGAGATGCTGCTGCTGCCATCTCTTGGCAATATTAAAAGTATTTATCATAGTCTTCAATTTTTCAACTGTGTTTTTTTTATTTATAATAATTTCTGCAAATATCATCTAAATTTTCCAAAGAGCATGTTTATCACATAAGTTATAACATTATGATATTATAACAAACGTTGAGTCCTCATTGTGATAAATTTGAAAAACTTCTGAATGGAAATGAACTAAAATATGTTTGAGCAGCTGGTCTCTTTAGACTGAGCCTACACGCCAAGATTATCAAGGTCAAGATTTTTTACTTTTCAGTTAAAATATATATATATATATATATATATATTGCTAGTCTTGAAAGTATAATTCGATTTTATTTTTTTCATGAGCCAATGTCAGATTTCAGAGTATAAGCTTAGCCCATAATTCATTTCACTGATGCAGCTAATACCTGTCACGCCTGGTTCAACCAGTTTCGCTCTGTATTTTGAAGTCTTAAAGGATAATCATCACTCTCCGCTAGTCATAAGAAGTCAGCCGGCTTACACTTAACAGCTGCAGCCAAAATACTGTTTATTCAAAAAAAGAATTAACTTTATGGTTAAACGGGAGGTAAAGTTATCAGTGGAGTTTCATTCCATATATGGTCAGGAGTAAAAGATACCAAACCAAATTAAAATATTATACTACGTCATGAGCTTCTTCTGAAGTTAGTGCCATAGCTTTCTATTTATCGATTCTACTCACTTAGAAAATCATGTATATCTTGATTTCTTTTCATTTGTTAGTCCTAACAACTTACTGTAAAGTGACAAGTGATGTTTTAATAATATTTATTTACTTCCTAACAGTATCAAACTAAATAACCAAGAAAGAACTAGTTTATCTAAACTCTAAACGAATAATTTCTACACCATTAGAGCGATAAATATTAAGATTATGCGTACATTATTTATTATTATTATAATAATTTAACTAGGCATCCTGATGTTCATCTCTCCTACGGCCCTTCCAGTTATCGAGTTGTTTTAGAGCTATCAATACTTGTTTATTTATGTTTCATATAATTAAATAAGACAGCCCTTTCATATATATGCAAATTTGCCTAATTTTGAAATAACGATCCTTTTGTAACTGCTTACCTTGGCTATATTTATTTATTTATATCACTTAGTAGCGTTTTATCAAAGCAAGTTAATTACGTAGATCAGAACTAAAAATTAACTCAGTAAATAATGTAGTTATTTATATATATATACCAATTTAATTAGACGTATGCAATGTCATAAAAGAGAACAAAAGCCTTATAATTATTGAAATGCTATGACTTTGAATTAATTGAAATATTGGAACACTTCCAAGAGAAATCTTATCAAATACTATGTATAGAGTGAGCTTCACGTTTGTAAAAACACAAAAAGTAGCTTCATCATTTCTAGCATATTATTTACTGTTAATACTAATGAAGATAGCAATTAAACCACCATTACCATGATAATATAAAACAAAATTTTAAACCCCTTATCTACTTAATACTTTATACATTCTTAATAGAGCTAGGAAATAGAAACAGTTAATTAAATACGGTTCTTTAGACAAGAAAGTTAGAAAACAAAATCCAATGATTTTGTTTAAAAAAATCTATGCTTTTAATCTATAACATATTCTTATTGTTGTTATTGTATCACTATGGTACTAATAACCCTGGACAGGATAAACTTATGAACCTATATTTACCCCAATCCTGTATCATTTGTTGATATTGTTGTTAAGGTATGTAAGATTATTTATAAAAATGTATACATAGGGAGTGTATAAGAGAGCAGTTTTCAATAACTGAATGCTACGTCCATCCTCATATGCAATTATCAGTTAGATCGAGTACTGTATAGCATAAGAGGCAATAATTAATTAAGGCATTCTAAAATTTATGAATGTTAAATTTTAAACTCGTGATTTCTTAATATTATTAAGTACTCAAATCAAAATACAGAAAACTATTATGATTTATTATCTATTTGCAGTCATAGTTACAGAACCAGTGATGAAGTAAACAAATGATTTTAAACTGTGATAGAAAAGAAGCCGTTGAAATGTTTAATTTACCGAGGTTACAGTGTGGATTGATTACAGTTGTAAAAATTTCTTAATTGTGTCGTTTTTCTTTCTTTTTTCTTTTCGGTGCTATAATCTGAACTAACAGGCTAAAAAATATGATGAAAATCATGTGAACTGAAACCTCTCCCTCGATATTCTTGAAATGTTCTTTTTACACAACTGTGATTTTAAATCCAAAATGGGCAAAGTAGGAGGAATGTGAGGCAAAAAAAAAAAACAGCAGTTTACGTGTCTATCTCAAATTTTAGGCCTATTGGTTTTCAAGGCTACGCCAGCTTTCGATATTTAAACCAAAAAATCTGAACTAATGATTCAAACGTTTCCAGGGAAACAAAATTTCTCATGTTTATGAAAGCTAACAATGCAGTTGAAGGCTAAATGAATACTGAAGTAGCGTTAGGAGTTTCAAAACACATTGTTCAGGAATGTTTATTCCCATTCCTTCTTAATGAATGTTTCACAAAAAAAAAACAGCATAGATAATTCAAAACCTGTTGAGATTGTGTATCGGAATGAAATTAATATTATAATACTGCTTTTATCTTTTCGAAAATTTTCACAATTGCCGGATCGAACAAGTAAACGAATTTTCTGAATCTTCTTCTCTTAGGGAAATACCTAAAAAACAACCGACATTGATGTGATAGTCAAAGAACGCCTCATTCAGACAAAAAAAAAAAACTAGTAAGAAAACAACTAGTCTGATTACGGTGTTTGATATTAGTGCCATATTTATATATGATTTCACAGAGATAAACATCTATATAATATAAAGTAACTGATCTGAGTAATGACGTTAAGTTTTAATTCATATAAATTATAATACAAGGTAACTGACCTCTATGGTGATGTTAAGTTTTACGTAGTGGATTGTACGATATCACTTGCCTCGGTTTGTGAGCAGCAGCTCACAGCCTAGAACACAGTTTAGTCTAGCACCATGGAAACAGTAAACATATCATAACCAACTGAACACTTAATATTATGTTTACTTAATCATACATTTGTATCTTTTAAGTCAAATTTTTAAACTATTATACTCTTTGAGTACAGAAAAGGGGATGAATTAATCTATTAAATATAAAGTATACCTTTCGTTGAGGAAACTATCACAAATATCACTTAGGAAGCAGATCAGCCATTAAGAACTTGCATCAGGTATAAATCAATATCACAAAGTGTATTGTGCTGCCATCTATTGATAACTATATAAGATTATGTAGTCGAAAAATTAAACTATTATATTAAACGTATGTCCAGTTTTAGAAAATAGAAAGATACATTAAAATTAAAGAGTAAAGCTGATATTTTTCAAGTACGTATACTAACCAAAATAACTATAACAGCTTGTATTTCTTTTACTTTCATAGAAAAATGTAGCCAAAAGTGTATTCCAAAATGAGACCCCCAATGGCTCAGCGGCAACTCAATGAGCTTATCACGCTAAAAATCAGGTTTCGATACCTGCCATAGGCAGATCACAGATATCTCATTGTGTAGCTTTGAGCTTTATAACCAACGAAAGAAAGAACCCAAATAAGAAATTAAACAGACTAATATCTAAATATTTGGTATTTGTATTTATAGCAAAGCTACTAAGACTGTCTGCCGCCATCAGTAACTTTGAAGTACTTATTGAGCAAAAGGAAAACAGCTGGTCAGCAGTACCCTAATTGCTAGAAAAGTGAGTTATATTATTGTAAGCTGCTTTGGAAAATATGAAACCTAAAGAAATCAAGAACCTAATAACCATACTTTCGAGCAGTATATGAAATTTATCTTTTATCTATTTTTGTTTTAAAACAATTGCGTTTAACTTGTGTCAATGTCTTATTTCACTTGTCCAACGGTAGGTCAGCGATACGTTTAAGGAATTACAAAGCTAAACACCGGGGTTCGATTCCCATCCGAGCGCAGATAGTCCATTGTATGACTTTGTGATAAAAGAAACAAACAAGCCTAATACACTTAAATGCTTTCAATAAATATTTTATTTTATTTATTTTCAATTAAAATGTTTCAAAACTTAAACTTGTTTTAACCTTTTCTTTAATCCACACTAAAGGGGTGGCGCAGAAATCGTTTTAAAGCTATATGATATATTTTAAACAATGCATCACAAAGCTATTCTAACTTTATCAAACAAACCTCACTAGATAAAACAGTATCACCACAGTTTTCCATTATGGCATTTTCAAGTTGAACCGATTTCATGACAAGTATCAGATAGGCAAACCAGCAAATAACAATAGATTCGATCAAGAAATAATGGTAGTGTCTTATAGTTGTTAGCTTAATTGAGTTTGAAGTTGCATGAGAAATAACAAGATTGGGCATTTTTGAAGTACTGTGTAAACAATCTTTACTTTGACGCATACATACACACGCACACACACAAAGAATACGCACCTGCGTAGAAAAGTGTAGTGACCAATCGCCACTACTGGATCAGTAAATGGCTTGTCAGCTTTCATTCCATCAAGATAAATCTCTGCCGAGCTAGTCACGATGAAAACCAACTAGAACTGGCCACAGAAAGCGAGACTGAATTCAGCTGGTAAGCTTGTTTTTTGTTGTTGTTCTACCGACAGCATCATCTCATAATCTTTGTTCTGTCATAGCATTGTCAGCTGTTGCGTCTAGTCAAGATTATACTCGGCCAGCAAAGGATAATCCAATGCCAATCCTTTTAACCCAAATGATATATGTTACTGTAATATCCTCTTGGGCTAAATAGACATTACGTACTATAGAGAACAAAGAAACAAAACAACTAGAACAAGATAATCTTAACGATTTTCTGGACCACGTGTTGTCACCATTACAGCACATAAAATAAATGACCGAAATTATTTTTAAATCTCTATGTCACTAAAACAGGTAGAAAACATATGATATGCCAGCATATTACACCAGTTTAAGAATAATTATTAATCCAAAAGGGAATAAATGAGTTCACTTCATCGCGACTCATAGATAGCAAAGAAAAATAGCTAGTTATATATCTATATGCTCTTTAAGTTGTGATTAAAAAATGAGTTATTACTATTACATCAATCTGAACTTAAATCTTTGATCCATGTATACGAATTTCGTACTTCACTTGATATAACTGAATTTGAAAGACATTGTCGGAACTGGATGCGGCAGTTGTAGTAATGTTGACATGTTATAAGATATTCTTTGCTTTCTCTCATGAGTTCTTAGGACTTATAAATTATGATTTTACGTTCCTATCGACACCCTCCCCTCCCCAATGCTTCGTTACCAGTGTTTTCTGCTTAACAACAAATAAACATATACAAAATACAAATAAATAAAGTTCCCATCGAAAATTTTAAAGACCTCTATCGTCAAAATGCGTAAACAATTTTTCATGATTGTTGTCATTAAATTTTTATAGATTTTTTGTGTATTTTAATAAACTATACAGTGATTATAAAATTATGTGAGTATTTCTTTAATGCTAGCTAAAATCTTCATGTTATCGTCATTGCTGTTATTACGTTTTTAAAGCCGTCACGGCGCGTGTTCACGTGACAAATTTGGCGCGAAAAGATTGTGTTAATTGTTCACAGATCTAACTTACTTTCCTAGTAATAATATTACTATTGTTAGAAATTGTGGGATTTAAGTTGAGAAAATTAGTATAATAAGATGGATGTTGCTGAACAACGTATTGGGCAAGTTCATGTAAAAGATGAGGTTGGAGATCGTTGTCAAAAGTTGTTCCAAGATTTTCTTGAAGAGTAAGTACTATTACAAGTATTATTACCAATACTGCTACTAAGCAATAGTATTGGTAGTATTGTTACTGTTAGTATTACTAAACAAAATTAATTTACAATCAAATTTCGAAAAGTAACACGTGGTTAATACTTGTTTCACTGACATTTTATGAATATGTTTGGAAGCAGAAACGAGAAATGATATTCACATAGCTTCTTGTTGTATGTGTGTATCAATATGTTTGTTATTTCTTGTCTTCTGTCTTAATCACTAAACTAAGCTCTTGGCTCGAACCATGACTTACTGCAATTGGGTGTATACATTTTTGATCCTTGGGGAAGTGAGACATCATACCATTTTGGCATTTCTTCAAGTACTCATAACTTTTACTCATCTTCCTCTTCCAATTTATTGTGTACTTCTGTCAGATTTTTTTTCTTAATCATCACAAGAATACTTCACTGTTTGGTATCAGTTTACAACACATTAACAAAAGATCAATAAAATTTTAATGTGACATTGCTCAGTGTTGGTGATGACAGAAAATTTCCTGGTTAATTTTAAAGAACATATAAATTATAATGGGTACCAGACTACAAAGGAGTAATACTTCAGGTTTCAAACAAAACACTTAGAATGTGATAACAGCAGAAAGGAAAGCTCATGATGGTGCAAGTAGCTTTTTTAAAGAGTTCTAAGAACCTGAATGCAGTGATAGGATTTTTGAAGTGCAAAATTATGATTTAATATATCATTATTAATATTTTGAACAAGTGACATTTTTTCAATCATTTAAAACATGTCGGTAACTTAGATTATTTCCATGTAGTACTAATTCTTAGTTAAGCATGCTCATTATTTCTGTGCAGGTCATTTGATGACCTCAATAATCCCAATGATTCTATCATTATCATCATTTGAAAAACAACAAAAGTGTGGGTCTGATAATCAAGCAAAGTTTTGTGTTCTTATGTTTTAGAGTTAGGATTAGGTTGTTTTTACATGTCTAGAGGATACCTTTTTTATGTATAAAGGCTAATAAATGGTTGATTGTTAATTTTCCTTAGACATTTATGGGTTACTTAATTTATTTTGTGTGGCATTCTGACATAGATTAACCATTTATATCTTTCTTTTACTTAGCTTTAGAGTTTGGCAAGCATTGTCATTCACTTCTAGTGTTTGAAATAAAGATATTATCAAAATTTAAATCAGGTCATTCTGTGAATTAGTTTACTCACACATGTCTGTTTTTAATGAATTAGGTTATTTTATTGTTTGAAAATATCTATTCACATTTCAAAACTATGGCAATGACATTTGTTCAGTGTATGTGATAACTAACACAAAGAGGGTTACAGCAGTAGGTTGCCAACATACACCAGACTCTGGTTCTTGAGTGTGTATGTTATCCACCTTATAAAAAATACATTTTTGCAGTACTGCTTTATGTCTTGTGAGAATCTGTTCTTGTATTTCAGGATAAGAGCATGTTACTGTAACATTGTTTGATCAGTGAGTATTTAATAAGTTTCCAAAAGCCCATGTGGAGTTTTTATGATACCACTGTTAAAATAAAATGTTTAGGATGTTGCATACTCAGATTTATGTTTATTATATCTTCATCAAACTAAAATAACATTCAGTTACTACACATATTAATATTAATGTCAAATGAGTAAGATTTTTAATGTGCTATACTAGGTGGAAAATTATGAACTTTTTTATTTACCATGATACTTGTACAGATTGTGAAGTTTGGGGACTCTAATACTTTTTAAAATGTTGCATATACCATACCAGCAAGAATAAGGATATTGATTTGTTTAATGTGAAATTACACAACAATTTAAAGGAATGACTATACTTTTTCTGAATTTATTCAACCACTAAACACTACATTCTTGCACAGTACAGTCAATTTAATAAGATTGTTAATTATCATGATTTATAAAATAGAAATCAATAAGTGGATTCATATAGTCAGTGAATGTATATAACCGGCAGATATTTATATCAAAGTTAACTAGCCAAAAAAATAATAATAAACATGTATCAGATTTTTTTTATGTAGATTCTTATAAGTAATATTTTTTTATTTTTCATTTCAGATTTTAACTTGTAAATCGTTTTGAAGCATTATTTGATTTTAAATTCTATGATTACCAACTCAAATAAGTTTCCAAAACTTAGTGGCTACATGTATGAGGGGGGGGGGGTAAGTATCACCTCATGAAGGAGGTATTTATTAAACCGTGCTAAATAAGGGGAAAATATTGGCAATAATCTTAATATGGAAATCTTTCCTCCTAATGACTGTTAAGCTGTACCAGCCTTAGAAGTGATGCCTACCACTTGAAACTAAAACTTTTTTTACATTATTTACAAGAAAAATTTTGATAAGTCAAAATTTATAAGCAGTTTTTCAGTAAAGCAGGATTTCACAAACATTTAATGTTACAAATTTTAATGCACCAGCTTGTGTGATTAAATGCACTGAATAACATACATTTACATGTATTCACATGTTTGGGTTAATATTGTAGAGAATTATAGTAGGAATGTATTTTTTATATCCTGGAGATGATTAATGATATTTTTAGAGGTCCAACAGTTTTTGTCTAAACTACAAACTTCCATTAAAATTTAAAAACAAGTATAGTTGGGTGATTACTGGAACTTGCTTAGTGATTAATTTTGGGGCTCATAACTTGCAATGCTAAAAATCAGGTGGACAATTTAGGTGGGCAGAGCACAGCCCATTGTGTAACCATATGTTTAACAAACATAATGGCAACATTTCAATTACTTGGATAGTTGGAATAATCAGAAACCCTAATTTTGATTAGTTGATTATTTTTATGAGTTGTGACACTAATCCATTAAGTTTTAACAACCTTGAGTTAATCAAAAATAATAAAAAGAAATCATAATGCCAATATGTCAATTAGAAGTTAGTTGGAATAATCAAAAACCTTAATAATCAGAAATACTAATGATTAGTTGATTATTTTTGTTACAATCGACTTCGTGATAATTTTGAGTACTGTATAGTTGGAATAATTGAAAATGATAATAATCGAAAACACTAGTTGATTATTTTTGTGATATTCATCAATTTAATTATAAATGTGATTAATCAGTTATTTTACATGACCTTACTCGATGTATTTGATGCTTATAGGTAATCAATTAATTTAGTTGATCACCTATCTCTAAAGACAAGCAATTGATTATTTCTTATATAATTATCTAGGGTAATTCTTACTCTTGAGTGTTATGGATATATAAGGTATCCTCACTTTATGATTTAGGAGTATGATTTGTTTGTTTTCCATTAGGAAATCTGTGGTCATCAATACTCAGTATCATTTTTGAAAGGATTTTCTTTGCTTAATGAATGTACTGGAGCTTTTTAGTGTGGCATGTGTTTTTTCTGTGGTGACTTCTCAAATGACTTATGTCTTGATTTAGAAATAGCCTTGAACAAGGTGACTCATAATAGCTTAATTTCTAATTTAGATTGTTATGGAACTTGATAAAAAAAAATGAACATAGCAGTTGAAAGCAAAAAATTAAAATGAATAAATATTTTTCAATTTAGGAGAATGTATACTAGTGGGTTCAAACCTTTTAGAGGTCTTTTTTATGTATTTTTGGTATATATTGTTTCAATAATTTGAAGGGCATCTTAGATGGTAATATTTCTAAATTTCCTGGTGATGATAAGGTTTTGTAATGGAATGATATTTTTCAAAACAGGTTTTTCGTCTTTTAGAGAGTTTCAAAACATTTTTAATGATTTGGTCACAACATTTTAAATTGGTTTTATTGTTACCGAGTGTAATTTTCTTGGGATATGACTATTTGAAAAACACACATGACCTTACTATTAAATACTAGGATATGTATATTTAGAAAAGTTTTAACTATTAGAGTCAAATTTGTATGTTATTTTATTTTTTATCAGTTATTTTCTCTCTAAAAAGTCACTTGCTTTTAATTGTTTATAACTTTCTTGGAACCATTTCAGTGCTGTAATGCATACTATGATTATTTCATTATTCTTAAAGGTACCAAAACGAAGCTCATGAGCTAAAATATTTGGAAGATGCAAAGCAGTTAGTGAAGCCTGAAAGAAATACACTTCAGGTTAATTTTCAAGATGTTGAAAAGTTTAACCAAAATCTGGCAACTACTATTCAAGAAGAATATTATAGGTATGTTTTGAAGTTATAAATTAAGAATTACTGATTTTATTTAATAGTGTAAGAATGCTTTAATCCTTTTCAGTTTGTGTATACCCATTCAGTAACTATTACTGTGTCATGTACTGATTACCCCTTGATGTTGTTGATATTGTGCAAGACCAAGAATGGGAATGTGATAGTAGTTAATATAAGAAATGTAAAATCATGAGTTTGTTTTTGGATATTGTAAGACGACAGTGAGTTTGATTGATGTGTGTCCTTGGTTTTTGGTAAACTAAATTAACAATGTCATGTTTCTGTAAGGTTAGTTTGGAAAGACCATGATTCCATTTGATTGACTAATAGAGTAAATTAATTACAGTACTCACAGTTATGGAAATTTCATGAAATATGTACAATATGGTGTAGAATTAAGATTGATTCTATATGTGGTTGAATCAAGTGTGGATATGATAGCCTGCCACATGTGCTAGAGTACTTATTCTACAGGCCTACAGAATACAATGTTCATATTGGAGAGACTTCTCCTGTGTGTTTCTGTAAGCTTTTTTGTACTGGATTAATATAACCATCCATACAACTACAGTACTGAAATAATTGCAACAATATGAAGATTGTTAAAGTCACTTTATTGATTTTTAAAATTGTGTTTCACCTAAGAGTAGATTAGTGTCCTAACACATGAGAATTCAGTTAAATTAATTTTGCAACTATTATGCAAGGCTATTATGGAAATGTTAACTGCAATGTAGATTATAGGTTTGGTAATTATTGCCAGATATGTTGATGTTGCAGTTAAAAGAATTGTTAATTTAACCCTTCCATATCTGGTATTGAATCTGTCTTATACATTTAGATATGTTCAGATAATTTTTCTAAATTTTTTAGCAGTTTTTCTGAATGTATTTAGCATCTTACTGGTAAACAGAACATAGAAAGGTCATAAACTTGCAGTAATTCTATCGATACAATGATTATTCTATAGAGCTTATACCTGTTTGACCCTCTTTCTGTATTGCCTTCTTCACCTTAGAGTGAGGTTATGCTCCTATCATTGGTTGGTACAGAGACTTGTGAAAGTTACCATTTAAGTTGGAGGTTCTCTCTCTTGTACATGTTTCTTTGAAATTATTGTTGATGTAGATAATGTGGGAATTGTTGGATATCACTTAAACTGTCTTTAGTCTGACTTTAAAGTGAGGTATTTCATTATTCTTAATTCTGTCTATCCAGAGCAGTCTTTTTTTTTTTTAGAATCCTTCTCTATTCCTCAACAGCCAATTTGAATTAAAATTAATAAAAAAGCTAGCTAGTCAGTAAAGCTCTCCTTTACACAATTATGAATAAAGATTGTTATTTATTCACATGTTATTTTAATTGTGTTCATTTTAATACTCTGCTTAACATTTCTGGAATGTGCATTTTGCAGATAATTGTAGCTATCTTGTGAATATCAGTGTTATATGAATACCACATTTGTAATGTTGATAGATTTGCATTTTTAGCTATAAGATGTTTTGTGAAGTATTAATTGTAATCTAATTATTTAATTCTATGCTGATTATTGAATTTTTGGTTCCCCTTAACAGTTGTACGTTAATCACTGGTAAATATCATTGTAAGTGTAAGTAGTTGAAAATACTTTGATCGGCTATAAAGTAATCAAAGAAATTTTAATGCTTTTGATTACGTAAAATGTGCAATTCAGAACAATATATTGTTATTTGAATTTAATTGTAAATGGTTTACTAAACTAATCATTTAAGTTTAAAATTTTTTATTGTTGTAGATCTCAGTTTCTTTGTAAATGAAATTATTAAATCCATTTCTCTGAGTGACCTATGAATAAATCAAGTGAAACATTGCAGCATATTTAGAACATTTACAAGTTTTCTTGAATAATAATAATAATAATACGACAGTCTTTTTGATTTGTGGAAAACAAAATAAAATTTTTAAACTGCTAAAACAGCAGCTAATTTAAATAAACTTGTAATTTATAATTGTTTTCTCAGTTGTTTTTATAGAATCTTCTATGATATTGTGCTATATTACAAAAATTTCATATAAAGCTATAAAATATTCACTGTTCAAGTTTTCAGAAAATGTTATTTTTTCAGGGTATATCCTTATTTATGTCGAGCTGTCAGAAATTTTGTCAAGGACCAAGCACAAGTGAATGTACTAAAAGATTTCTATGTTAGTTTTACAGATGTATTCTCAAGACACAAGTAAGTATTGCAAAAAAATATAAACTTTAAAATGAGTAATTATGTTTCATTGGATTAAAGTTTAAAATGAACAATGACCATATATCTTCTTTTATGAATTACATTACATTTAATTCTAATTTTTTAATATTTCTAGATATTAAAAATCCAAAAATAAAACTACAATAGCTTTTTTAATGATATAAATATCTTTATTAATAAATGCTATTTATAAGTAAATAAAAGTTACCATAAGTTACAGTGTTTTAACGTGTTTTTATAGTGGAGTCAGTAAGCATAATTGGATGAATTTTGCACTCTTGTTTTTTAAGGGTTAGAAAATACTGTTACGTCTCCGTTTGTTAATTGATTTTCCGTAACTTCGTTCCGACGAAACTTAAGCGACACAAGTCCTTTCTTAATAAAACT